AATCACTATGACAGTTATGAATAGATTCAGCCCGCCCCTGATGGCCGCCTCGAGACTCTGTACTGATGCCTTTAACCGTTCCGCCGTTCCAACCAGCCGACGTATCTCGCGTATCTCGTGGCACATGGCGCCGCGGGCGTTGATGGCGCATCTGTGCAACTCTTCCACCTGACCCAGCCGCAGGTTCAGGTGCGACACGGCTCCCCGCCCCCTAGGATAGGCAGACGTGAGCTCTGCCTGGAACCTGGCGAATGGCCTTCGCTGGCAGGAGGCCGCGATTCCAGAAACCATTCTCTGGAGGTACGCGTGCGCTGTGGCTGCCCCAGTCAATGCCATGCGCAGGGGTAGCGACCATTGTCGTCAGAACGGCGAAAAGTCCTCCCACGAGAATGAATGGAGACCCGCACCGTTGAACAGATGAAGATGGGATCAGCGGTAGTAGCGCGTCGCCGTCGTTCCGCCACTGGGGTGTGGCTTCTCTTGGGCTTTGCTTGGGCTGTAGCACCAATGGGGCTTGCTATTTAGCGGGCTGACAGGACAGGCGAGAGACGCCTCGTCGTTGCCGAAAAGCGAGACGGATCTCTCCCCGTGTCCGTGTTTGCCCTCCATGGTTGGCTGCGTTTTTTCGCGGTTCACCGGAGAAGTAGCAGCAGAGTTACAGCCTATAGAAGCCGATATCATAGTGGTTTGATTTCTGCCTCTGTAAAAGGTTGTCGTCCTCGCATCCCCGCCCACCTCCTCCCATCATTGTGCCGAAACTCACCCACAAGAACGGTGCGTAGTGGGATACAGGTACGGGTACATCTCTCATTGCCCTGGGTGACAACCCGGCATGCTCCATTCCGGGTTGTCTAGGAATGCCGAGGAGCCATGATCTAAGTGTCCCGGCCATGCACGAAAAACGAGAAAGAGCCTCCCACGCCGTGTTGCCATTGCCACAGTTAAAGTGGTGTCCTTCGTTGTTGGTTCTCTGACTGATACTGCGTTCGAGAGTGAGTGTGTGGAGTTCTTCAATGGGCATTGAACGCGAATAGCCGGGTGAACCAATCAAAAGACGTCAGCCTCAAACACGGGACAACAAACACGCCCTTTTTATCATCAGCCCGCCCCCCTACATGCGTGTGTGCCCTCGCGCCCGCCCTTGTATGTAAATCTCTTGGTTCTTTCTCAACACGAAACTTGCGTGTTCCGTCCACCGCAACACAAAATACAAGATCTTGTTCCAAGCGGTGTTGGTGGCGTCCGGGAACCTGTCGTTCCTCAACTGGCTGACGGCGGTGCCCGCAGTTTTCTCCTTCGACGACCTACACCTCGCGAGGCTCTTCCCCCGGCCGGTGCTCCGGCGACTCGTGTGCGGCCTTGCGGAGGCGGCGGCGGCGGCGGCGGCGGCGCCGACGCCGACGCCGACACAGGGGAAAGGGGATGGGGGAGGGGGGGTAGCTGCGGTAGCGACTGCTGTGTCCGCGGGGCCTCCTGCTAGGACAGGGGATGTTGTGAAGGAGAGTGGTGGTGGGAGCACCAGCGGAGATGGCGGCGGAAAGCGGAGTGGAGACAGAACGGCCGTGGATTCGGTTTCGGTTTCGGGTTCGGGTTCGGGTTCTCGTCCCGCTCTCCGTTCTCGGCCTGGGATTGCTCGCACAGAGTCCACGCTTCAGTGGTCGTCTGAGTCGGAAGAAGAGAGCGAAAGTGGCAACAACAATGCTGACGACGACAACGACGGCATCCCAAGGGCGTCAGCGATAGCCGGCAAGCTCGCCGGCAGCAGCGGCTACGGCCCTCGGGACTCGTTCCACGGCCTCCGCTTCCGGGGGCAGGGAGGGCCGGAAAAGCCGCCGCGGTCGCCGTCGCGGTCACCGTCGCCGTCGCCGGCTCCTGCCGCCGGCTGTCGGGGTGGCGCCGTCGCCTCCGCCGCCACCGCCACCGCCGCCGCCGCCGCCGCCTGTTCTGAGGGTGTGAATGCCGCCGCCGTTCTCTCTGCCGACCTTGGAGGGTGTGGTTCTCCGTGGAGCGTGAGGTGTTGGAGAGCCCTGAGCGGGGCGCGGCGGGCGCT